GATAAATTCGAAAATTCAGTTAAAGAACAAAGAGAACAAAATGTTACATTTCAATCACTACAAATAGATTACATAAAAAGAATTGACGCATCCTTACAACATATTAAAGAAAATACAGACAAGTTGAAAAATAAACCATAATGTCTTCAGCCATCTTGGACATGCAATGCGTTCTTGGATTTAACAATAAATATATGATTAAAGAAATGTCTATAGTAGACACAGAAACTTGGGCGACCCAACACTGGATTTTTAAACATTCAAAATCGATGGAGGATAACAAAAGTCGTAAAACCAACAAGTGGCTGGAACGTAATTATCATCAACTACCTATAGAATACGGCGATATCGAGTATGAAGAACTCGGCAAAATATTGAATTCATTAAAGTTCACCTGTATTTACGTCAAAGGTGAACAGAAAAAACAAATTCTTTTGGAGTATATACCACACGTCGCACTCATCAACATTGAAGACTTGGGCTGCCCTCGTTTGGATCAAATATGCGATGACGAAACTTTACCTGGTTGTATTTTTCATATGGAATTTAATCCTAAACAGTGTACATTTTATAAAGTTTTTGCTATAAGAAAATGGTTTATAAATAATTCTTAAAAAAATATAACAATAATATTTTAACATTGGTTTTTTATTTTACATAGGTAACCTAACATTTTCAATACATGGTATTTTACAATATAACAAAAATATATACATATACATGATATTTTAATATATAACAAAAATATATGCATTAATCTAAATCAAGTATTTACAATATATAACATAATAATATTTTCAATAAATATACATAGTATTTACAAATTAGAAATATATATACAGTATTTAATTATTTAGACGTGCACCCCCTTAGAAGTAATCTCATTAAATCTTTCTCTTCATCGTTCCAGTTCTGTCCTTCTCCTCCTTCTTCTAATTCAGGCCAATCAACAATCTGCTCGTTATCATTCCTATAAAATTATAAATATAAGTAAAATAATTTGAAAAATATAAAATAATTTAAAAACTTACTCTAAACTATAATGCCCATGGGCTAGAGTATGCACTTTATCGTCTAGCACCACTCTTTTGTCATCGTAGTTGTTGTATGTCAATTTTTTAGTCTTAATCGTCATGAGTTGATGTTTGAATGACCGTATTGAAACATTCTCCTTGTACGCCTCTAATCCTTCTTCCCCAAACAAACACTTAACATGATCCTCCAACGTCATGTGGTTTTTAACCACATGCTGTCTTACATCCTTCGCCTTGATCTGCTCTCTCACCACTCTCTTCTCCTGTATATATGTTGTACGCGTATGATTTTGCACGTAGTGCACAAAACTCTGTCATTATATGTCCTTTTGCTTCATCAGAGAAAAACCCGGGCACCTTCTTCCTAGCTGTAGTGTAGCACGGATGGGTAGGAGGCAAGTCCGCCGTGTCTAATCTATCCATCAAGTTGGGATTCTCAATCAAGTCTTTGTAAAAATCTTCAGTTTTAATATGGTATACCAACGAATCTGAAATAATAATTAATATATATACATATACACACAAGAGAATAGTTTAAGTATATTTACCTGTGTCAGTATACATAAGTTTGATATTATCACCATAGTGCTTCTGCATTACGTTGTAGTGATAATCGTACATCATCGTCTTGGAAATGTCAAGTACAGCAAATCCTATACAAAATATGTAAATAAATGATAAACATGTAATTTAAAAAAAAAGTATATTTACCAATATATATAGGCTTATCAAATTTGATTATTTTGTTTTCCAACGCCACCGCGTTCAGGTTTTCTCTATAGTTGGTAGCATGTTTAAATGTCGTCTTATTAATAAGTTTTTGTAGTCGTCTCTCACACGACACCAACTCCATCTTCATCTCCTTTCTTTTAGACTGCATTGTTTTACCTGTAAAAATAAAATGTTAATAAAATCAGAATAAATAGTATAAAGTAACATACCAAATACTGCATTATTCATTAATTTGAAAAAGTCTTTCTCAAAGTCGTTCTGTGCCTTCTTCCTCATCTCTGTGTTTAAGTTAATGTAATCCGCCAACCATGCAGACTGGCTAAATTCTAAAACTCTATGCACCTATAAATTAAGATATAATGTTAAAAATTTAATTTAATTTAAATCTTGTAAAATAAAAATATTTACTTTTTCAACTATTAACCCATTTTCAATTGCCTGCTGTAGGTTCCGGTAATGTATAATATAATTTTTCTTCTGCTGAAACGTTGCTATCAATTTTTTCACCTTCGACCCGCGTGGTATACCGTTTTGTGGCAGGAAGGGCAGGTCGTTATGTTTGTCGTGTAATTTTTGAGGGGATGAGACATCAATTTCGTATACTCGCCCTTTGTCTGATGTGTCGTTTAAATCAGCTAATCCGTTAAGAGACCCAATTGAAGTCACCGTATGGCATATACTGACACATAGCCTAGCCATAGAGATTATTACCTGTAAAGTTTAAGTTTGTAAAAAATTAATAAATAAATAAATAAATATATTTACAGTCCTGGTATATCAACCACGATTTCTCCTTAGTTTCGTCATAGTCTGGGGTATTTATATTATTCGCTTTGGCATGTCTCATGCTTGCCTGCACTAATCCACCACGAATACCTAAAAAATTAATAAGATTATTATTATATTCATATTTTATAAATAATATACTAACCATTCTCATACATTAATAACATATCGTAATCACTCAACAGCTCCAACTTTTTCCCGGTAAACTTCAACATCGCGTCAAAACTCAATCCTGGTGCAGTAAAATAATACGCCGCGTCCAAGTTATATGTCTTTATACACACATCACGAACATTTTCAAAGACGTCCGCCAACAGCAACACGTCGATTTTCAAGTACAGATCACTGTACTCGCCCAATGTCTTGCAGCCAAAGTGGTCCCAGACCTCCTTTGCATGCGTGTATTCCTCCTCCTTTATTCCCGACTCGTTTAACCTGCTATAAAAGTCTCTCTTTCTCGGTAGTCTCTCTTCATCCAACCTGCTCCAACTATCTGTGTACTCGTACGGGTACACTCCCTTCCGAGTCACGAGCGGCATATCGACAATATTAAAAACTTTAGCGGTCTCACGGAAGTTCTCCAGACCTGGTGTTACAAGATTTTTAGCTAGAGTTGATAGTCCTGATGCCATGAATCTAAAAGTGTCTATGAAACGGATTTGGAATTTACTTGACACATATTTAGAGAATGATATGTATTTTTCCTCAGTGTTTGGTATTACTCTAATAGTCTGGGTGTCATAACCAAGTTCTGTGACTATCAGATGCGCGTCATAGTTAGACAAATTATGGAAGTAGCACGGTACAAAAACGGGTGTTTGTAGTTTTTGGTTGCATACATTGCAGAGAGCTTGACGGTATTTTCCTGTGAGATGGCAATGGTCAGCTGTCTTACGATATAGTACCTCTGAAGGTGGGGTAAACTCAATTTTGCATAGATTGCAGTGCGTCGCTGCTTCATGAACTTGTATGTCGTCTGCGGACATATTTATCGGAATATTAGTCTTCAATAATTTCTCAATCTTCAACGATATATCCGTCACGGTTTCGACAAAATGTCTCGCCACATCAGGCTGACTCTCACTTCCTCGATATAATATTGGTTCCGTTGGTATCTCCTGTCTCGCTAATAGCTCTGTCGGTACGTCATTGCTCGCCTTCACAATGAGTCCATAGCTCATCGCTTCATGTCTGTGCATTATTTTTGTATTTCCCCCCTTCTTCTCATCCGTCTTCATAAGTATAGTTTCGAAATCTGCATATATTACTATAGGATGTCTCTGAGTGTTTCTCCATGCTTCAAATTGCAGACACTCCCCCTCCTTAGGCATCACCGGTAATATTGGCTTATGTGCACCGCATATAAGCTTGTGTTGATTCAGCGCCTCCTGTCCGCTCAGCTTGTATTTATGTCGTCTATCATCAAAACTAGTAAAACACCTTTTAAAAATGGTTTACCTTCTCCTCGTCGACCACACGTAACGGATACACCTCGTACGTCGGATATTTACGAGGTGGCTGGAACTTTTTCTCTACTCCATAGACGTTAAAGGACACGTTGTTATTATTTTTTTCAAATTTGGAGATATCCGATAAAGGTGTAGGGAACGAAATACCGTCAAAATTATATTTCCCCTCGTGTTTTTTATAATTTTCTCCGATACGGTATACCACCTCCCCCTTCACATGCTTCGCCAGAATTGCCCACTTAAAACATTGCTGGTCCGTATTTTGTGGGTTTATCGTAGCCCGCTTCCTATCGATATACGCCGGTAATTCAATATATGACGACCCAGTCATTGGTGTGTAATTGTATATTCCTAATAATAAGCCGTCCATTGTCTCCAGAGTAAATCCACTCCCGCGTGACTTATACTCCTCCTCCTCCTTCAACAACTTTATATACGCCCTCTTAATGATCGTACTTATGTCACTATCTGAGAAAATTTCTACTGCCACTGTCTTAAATGCCCGGTTCTCCGACGAATTGAGGACGTTGGGCCGGTTGTACGTAGCCTCAAGCTTTAAATTGAATTTAATCGCCCCTTGTTGAACGCGTGTTTTCAATAAATGTTCAAGCTCAGGCATGAGTGAGCGGAGAAAGTCGGGATAATTTTGAACGTTGTTAATATTTTTGTTATAGTACCACACGATTTTTCGATTCGCTGACGAGGAAATTTCAGTGAAGCCAGGAGTCTTAACCATGTCCATCCTATTTTTTTTGCTCTAGCAGCCGACACGGTGTTGGCAGTCGAAACACGTTTCCCGCTAACGGCAACGGTGTAAGAATCTTTTAAAAAAAAAATCCAAATTAATATCTAATGAAAATAAAAAAAGTGGTATTGAATCTAATCAACCTTAGTTTATAATATAACGATATATGTCTTTGTGTAATTAATCCATGGCGGGTAAATTATTTTAATAATCTAATTAATTCGGGTTTCAAAACTAACCTGTATCCTCATATTCATCCATAGCTGCCATGCAAATCTCGTCCTCGGACATCATGTTCGAGCCACCAGCAGAAACATCGGGGACAAATATCTGCGGCGCGATTTGAATATGACCCTGTGGAGTAGACGATAGTGCGAACTGTATGACACTTTGTTGGGCAACAATCGGTGCAGGCGGTTGGTCGAGCTGCGCATATGGTTGGCGAAGAGCTGGTACGATATCATGAACATTTTTCAAATGTTTGGTGAGACTGGTTTTGTAGGCGAATGTTGATTGACATATAGTGCATGGAAAATGAATACCGGTATGAGTTTTTCCATGTCTCACTAAAGTATCTTTACGTGTAAACGTGGACGGACACTGTTCGCATTTAAACATATTTAAAATGTTTAAGGTAATGATGATAGAAAAATGAAAACAAAAAGAAAAACACTTGTAAAAATATTAAAACACTGTAAATTCTTTAAAGTTGGAACGAGAACGATGAATGTGTCGGGTAGACTAAACCGTTTCAGCTATACTCGGTGATATATATAAGCAGAGGTACGCTAATGCTTCTTGTGGCAGATACTTGTATTATTAGTGTATGAGAGGTGGCTATTAAGACATCCTGGCTATGACAATAACTAGGCTATTAGGGTTAATGTATTTTTCATTAATTGGTAAATTGGTATCTTCTATTCGATATACTATAGGTATAATGGTCATTTATTGATTATTTTATAATGTTTCCTTGTGTGTGTACAAATATTGAATACGAATAATATCTAATGGCAGAAAATATACGACTGAAGCACCATTGTGGCCTAATGTTAAGACATCCTGGCTATGACAATAATTAGGCTATTAGGGTTAATGTTTTTTCATTTATTGGTATCTTCTATTCGATATACTATAGGTATAATGGTAATTTATTGATTGTTCGGCGAACGTGCGAACAAATGTCTATTTTCTAATGACAATACGCGCAGCTGCAAGCTATTATTAAATGTTTCTTCTGAAGTTTTATGTATTTAACGTACCTGTTGAATAGGGCAAGTTAATAACATAAAGTATATGTGACGGGGTGGCGCAGTGGTACGGTGATCGCTTGCCAAACCGACGGACTCGGGTTCGAATCCCGGTCCGGAAAAAAATTTTTAGCTTATTTTCGGGCGTAACATGTGATAAAATACGATAACATGTGATAACAATAATATAAGTAACGCTCAGCAGCGGGATGAGGATGCGGGGATGCGGGTGCGGATCAGCAAGGATAATGGGGTCATGGGATAATACAATGGTCATGGGGTCATGGGATGAGGCAATGGTCATGGGGTCATGGGTTGCGGTAATGGTCATGGGGTCATGAGTTGAGGTTGCAGAACATACCTTTTTATACTACTCATTTAGCACAAAATAATAAATATGAAATTAAAATGACCATGACAAATATAATAAATTATGATAGGTATCAAAAAAAGGTTAAGTAGGTACCTACTACCTATATAAAATGATATCTAACACAAAATAACAATAAAATTGTTCTTACTATAACCTGGCTATTTTGTCCTAAATTGTTTTTTCAATTACCATTATTATTTATAAATGTATGTCGTATGTGTAGAAGCAGTGGCGGACTGGACGACCGTGATACCGGTGGGCCGCTGCTCATATAAAAGTATTTATAAATCAGTATTTATTAATGTTATCATTGTGAAATTAAGTATAAATTAGAATATTAACTAATCAGTAATAACTAATATTACTTAACATAAAATCCTGATTTCTGAATATTTTAAAATGCGGGACCGGCTTGTTGACAACTTACAGTTGCAACTTACAAGTTTAAAAATATAATCGAAAATAATTATTGGGTACATGGGCTGTTATAGCATCCATACGTATAAATATATATATTTAAAAGGCCGTAAGTATACTGACGGCCTCTAACATTATGATTTTCCCAGGCTGTTTTTTTCTCCCTGTCCGCCGCGCAGAGTGTGTACTAGATACTCACTATTAGCACCTGCGTCATTAATTTAAAAGTTAAAATCAGAAATACGTAAAAAAATTATATTTTGAACCCCAGTATTTTAATTAACAATTAAAAAATGTCAATAAACTTCTGGAAACATACTTTCTAATATATAATTTTCAGGTAAAATATTTTATGCAAACATATTTTATGCAGACATATTTTATGCAAACATATTTTATGCAGTTATATTTTATTCAAACATATTTTATGCATTATAATATTCTGTAAAATTATGTTCTATTATATTCCATTCTGGAATTGTACACCCAGCGGAATTTCTGCAATATTATTTTCTGGATTTTTACGTTCTTCAGATAAACATTCTTATCAGTTTACATTCTGTGGTATTTATTTTCGTTCATTTTATTTTCTGTTCAAATATTTTCTGGGCATTTTATATTCTGGCTGTTTACAATTCTGTAATATTATTTTCTGTAATTAAACATTCAACCAATCTACGTTCTAGTGGTTTATTTTCTGGAACATTATATGCGTCCGAATGTAGATTTGTAGAATGTTTATTTACAGAAAATAATATTACAGAATTGAAAACAACCAGAACATAAAAAGCCCAGAAAATATTTGAACAGAAAATAATATGAACGAAAATAAATACTGCAGAATGTAAACTGATAAGAATATATATCAGTAGAATGTAAACATACAGAAACTAATATTAGAGAAATTCTGCTGAGTGTATTATTTCAGAATGGAATATAACAGAACACCACTTTACAGAACGTTATGATGCATAACAAATGTTATATTAGAAAATATATTTCCAGAAGTATACCTGTTAACATATTTTAGTTGTTAATTAAAATGCGTGGGTACAAAATATAATTTTTTTAAGTAATTCTGTTTTTAAATTAAGGACAGCTGCTAATATAGTTATAGTAACTAGTACCTACTCAGATACTAAAAAATAATTAGGTATTCTAAAAAAAAAAAAAAAACAATTAAGGGAAAAAATATCAACGATAAAATAAGAAAAAAGTTATTCTAAAAAACTACAGTTATAATTATATTTTGTGTGTAATATAATAATTGTATGTAGGTACCTAACCAGACTAACTATTTTTTATACCATTCATAATTATATTTATCAACTCATACCTAATATTTAATATTTATTATTTTGAGGTATCTACTAATTTATTACTCGTGTTAATATAATATTTTACATTTTTGAAAGACAAAAAACATGTTGCAATTAAAGTACTAAACCATTCATAATTAATAATAATAACAACTTCTGAAAAACTCCGCCAACACAAAAATCTAATAAACATTAAATCAAAATATTGTCAATGGAATAATAATTATAAGTTCCAACAGTCATTTTTTTCAATGTAAAATAGTTAAAGACATGCTCATTCTTTTAAAAACTAAACATAATATTTAAAAATAAAAATAAAAAGTAGTCATCATAGTCGATGCTTAAGGCTAGGATTAGTGCTCGACCGACGGTCAGCGCTGACGTCAGTCGAGCGTAGATATATCAAAGGATGCATATGAACAACTACAGTGCAGCGCTGAAAAGTTGATACGCGCGTACAGCTACGTCGCGCTGTAGAGGACCGTCGGTCGAGCTCGTCCGTCACGCGTACGTCGGTCGACCGATGGGCCATATCCGTAAATGCTGCCATTTAGTTTGACGCTGATCGAGCGACTGACCGTGAGCGAGTACTCGAGTTTTTTAATTTTTATTATATTATTATATAATTATAATTGTTAATTATAATTTTACAATGAACATCGATACCGAACGGGTCATTTCTAAGGTGCGTCTTAATCCACCATTGTGGGACCTTTCTTAAATAAAAGCTTGGCAAGAAGTTTGTAAAGCAGTTGTACAAAATTACGACGATATGCCTGATAATGAGAAAAAAGTTATAGGTAAGTAAATTAAAATTGATGATTAAAATGTATACTAATGGAATACCTTGCCTACTTTAAAAAAAAACAAATTAAGTCCTCTCATGGTAATAACATTTGTCACAAAAAAAATGTTATAATTAATTAGTGATGTTACGAACCCTGATTTTTAAAGCTAGATAAGGTCGAACCGAACCCGAACCATATTTTATAATATATAATAATATTAGATAACATATTAATAATAAGCCACAGATATTAAAATTGAAAACAACCAAACAATCTATTTTTGTATCTAGGGTTTAAATCGAACAGTTCGTAACATCACTATTATTAATGTTATTAATAACCAGATAAATAATAACTTATTATCAAAATGTTCGTGGTTCAAATTGTTTTATTCTGTGGTTCAAACTCTGAATTACGTTTCTGTAATAGGAGGAATACTGAGGGTGGTGGGATTAGGATTTATTTATCATCTAAAATTATAAATATTTAATTTAATGGTTTTGTAATATTAAATTTATATTTATAGGTATCATTACGGTTTAAAAATAGTTATAATTATATATTATTGTGTATTATACTATTATTATAGTTTGAATTACAGTTCTTTTTGCCTTACAAGGCGTAATTACTAATTAATTTATACATGACAAAGTTAAATGTTAAAATATACTAGCATCTTGCCACGGTACACTTCCACTAGGAGAAACGAAATAGTTGGCAAATTTATCCCTTATCATATCGCCTGATCTTGTAATATTACCGTTCATATTGAGATTAAGTTCTTGAAACCCCTCAACAGTTAGTGTGCCTTCTACTCTGTAACCATCTCGTTCTCTTATGTAGTTATGCAAAACGCAACAAGCCTTTACGATTGTTATTGTATTTGGCAAAGAAGTATTCATTGGTCTATGAAATATATTAAATTTATTACTCATTATTCCAAATGTAGACTCAATATACCTTCTAGCACGGCTCATTCTATAGTTAAATATCTTCTTTTTTGTTGTCAGATTACTTCGTGCGTAAAGTCTTAAAACTTTGTTCGATATACCGAATGCAGAATCACCGATTATCATATATGGAAGTGGTTCGGTAGTATTAGGTAGTGGTTTTGGTGGAGGTAACATTATGTCTCCGTTATTTATTTTCGTAAATAAAGTGCTTCCCTTAAAAATAGTTGAGTCTGAGTCTGTTCCACATGAACCTACATTTATGTAGGTGAACTGTTAATCGGAATCACACATGGCCAATAGAACAATAGAATAATACTTTTTATAGTTTGAAAACAAACTTCCACTGTGTTCAGGACAGATTATTCGTACGTGCTTCCCGTCGATACTGCCGATGCAGTTAGGGAAGTTTGCTACATTCTCGAAGCCTGCAGCGATCTTTAGCCATCCTTCCTGTGTACTCGGCATCGATAGGCATTCTTCATGAAATAGGTCCCAAATATTTGTACACACTTCTTTTATGATTCCACCGATTGTTGCCGTACCTAGACGGTAACTAAAATAAAGATCAGTATATCTTTGTCCAGTTGCAAGGTATCTGAAATAAAAAAATAAAAAAATAAATTATTTTACAGAAAGAAATGTACAACAGCGGTGGAAGGGCACGGGACGCTTACGTTAGATGCAAAGCGTCATTAAAAAATACTAAGTCTGGTTCTGCAGGTGGAAACAAAACGAAGAAATATGTATACTTTGACTGTATGCAGTTTCTAGATAAAAAACATATTGTAGGTACTGAGATTCAATTGTGGAAAGTCAGAACACAATTAATGAATCCCAACCAAATAGCGAAATAATGACGACGCTCTAAATTCAACTCTACCTTCACCATCTGAAGCCTCTAACTTTTGCAAGCCAAAACAAACTGCTACTGCTGAACGGAAAAATGTGCAAGCAAGGCGTAAAAGAATTCGTGATGAAGACAGAGAATTTGATAGAGAAATGATGAACATGTTTAAAGAAAATACAAAACTCATGCAAAACGATAATATGTCATTTTTTTGTTCGCTTTTGCCGATTATGACCAACTTTTCTAATCATCAAAAATTACTTTTCCGTTCAGCAGTTCTACAAAAAGCAATTGAAATTTCCAGCGGCTCTAGTGAAGTCCGACCCTCAACATCACAAACTTTTTTTTCGACTTCGGAATCACACATTCCGATACTTCATATACATCATATACAACAGAAGAATCCAGAAGAACACCACAGCAGATTGAGGAACTAGATGATGATCCATCGGGTACAACATATGCTTTGGAGGATATTCTTACTTTACAGAAATAGTAATACAAATATAAACTGTAATAAATCATGATAACATGCAATAAAATATTGAAGTATAATAATGTCTTTTTAATATTAATTTTAAGTTAATCATTTTTTAGAATCTGAGTAAAATAAAGAAAGTATTAATTTATAGGCACAAAGTATTTGACTTAAGCTCGATTTTTTTTATAGCTATTGTAAGCAAAACTTGTGAACAACCATAGGCGGAAATCGGGGAGGGCTTGAGGGGACTAAGCCCCCCCCCCAGAAGTTTAAAGTGCAGGTCTCAGCCACCCCTAGCCCTCACAATTTTAATGAGACTAAATATACAATAATTATTATAATTAAAAAATTCATTTTTAATATCTGAATTACAAATACAAAAAAATATTCTATGATAAAAATTTAATTTAATTCATAAGTTTTACCAGGGATCGAAACCGTTTCAAATTTTAACGGTTACGGTTTCGGTTTTTGAGAACGGTTTTCTACATTTTATGGTTTTGGTATAGGTTCTAAGTCTCTAAGATCGGTTTTTCAAATTGTTTGGTTTTGGTTTCGGTTTCAAAAAAGGTTATATATTAGGTACCTACTCTTATTATATTATATACTTGGCTTCTTTGTTTTAACAATATAACATCCTATATTAAATTGGTTAAATTAAATTAATTTAATATTTTAATAATAAAATAAATGTAATACAATTTCTGTTTAGAATAAAATGTTGAAAGTAAGGCACATTATTGTTTTTGTACTTTATTATGGTTAAATTGTTTAGTAGGTATGTCAAACTTTGTAAATTGTCTTGTTGAAATAAATAATTGCGAGCGACTCTAGTACAGCAGTGCCTATATAGGTGCAATGAGAAATATAATAATCAGCCCCCCCCAGTTATTTCACCAAATTTCCGCCTATATAAACAACCTTGTACTAAATTTTCGATTCTTAGCTATGAATACAAAAAAATGTATACATTTTGAAGTACAAAATAATTTGCAAATATTCGTGTTTTTAAGCATTTTGAGAGTTTTTTCCATACATTATAAAGTTTTCAAAACACTGACTAGTTTTGAGATTCATTAATTAATAAAAATACAACAATTCAATTAGAGAAGTACTTACCTTATAGTGACAGACAATCTTTCTGCTGGCGACACTGGGATACGAAAAGTGTTCTGACGCTTCAAAGAATCTTCTAGTTTTGCAAGCAGCTCGTCAAAACTTTTAATAGACATTCGGAAGTAATTAAAAAATTTTGACTCATGTTCTCATAATTTTGAAAACAGCGTACAGAATTCACCTTCAATTGGTCGGTCTACAATAACCGGGTGGACATGATATCTTCTACGTCTTTTTTTATTTTTTCTTAATTGTTTGCGTAAATAATACGCACATATCATAGAATTTACTAGGTATGGATTCATAGTTCCAAAAGTTTAAGTTTAAAAAAGTATTTAAAAAAATTGATTAATAACGAAATAACATACACAATATGACCGACACAGTTGCCACTTGCCGATCAGCTATGTACTAAACGCTTTGTCAGGACCGACGGTCAGCGCGTACCTTCGGCGCCGACGGTACGCGCTGACCGTCGGTCGAGCACTAATCTCAGCCTAAGAATAAGTAGGTATTGTTTAAGCTCAGGCACGTAGCCAGAAAATGTCTACTAGATGGGCCAATAATGTTTGGCCCTTTTATTTTTTTTCATAATTTGTCTTTATGAAATTTTTGTAGGGGGTATGCAATACAAAGAATCTTGTTAATTTAAAATTTAAATAATTTACCTTTAGTTGGTACTTAATTGGTTAAATTTTTTTTTTTCACAACAAGTTATACCTATTACTTACCTATTTAAGAATTAAAAAAATAGAAAGTAGGTACCTACCTGATAATAAAAAAAATAAATATAGAATTACCTTCATCTTCACTTATGGGATACATTTTTCATGCTATGAAAAATAAATCTACATACATATTTAAAATAATAAGCTGCTTCAATTGTTCAACTTCTATTAACAAAAATTAATTTATATTTGAATACTTATCAAAAATAATAGGGATAAATGATCATTGGTTTTTAAATTAATATAATTTTTAAAGAAACTCAAATTTATTTTTAAAAAAAACACATACTAGTAGAAAACATTAATAATACACTTATAGTTATATAAATATTGAAGCTAGTCTATTATTGTTTATAAAACAGGTATCAAGACCCTATTATATTATATTTTTTTTAGAGAAAGTTATCCACGGTTCCGCGAATATACAAATTAAGTTATTACAATAATAATTGTATTACCTAGTAGTAATCACAGTAGATTTTTCTCAATGTGCATAATCACATTTTTGATAATTGGTAAAAATAATTATATTTTGAATTTGGGGGCCCTGGACCAGAGTATATTTAGGGTGGGCCCGGCCCATCCAGGCCCCCTTGGCTACGTGCCTGCTTAAGCTATACTTACAACTCAAATTAGATTCATAAACTTTGGCTAAAGTCCTAATAGTCCAGTGCAATAAGACGAAAAAAGGCTTCAGCTCGGAAAAATTCCCACCTAGCTGAATTTTGGTACACATCTTTATTAAATCGTTGTAAACAATGTCTAAAAAGTCGACCTCGATATCATGTACGCGTTAAAGGTTATTCGAGGTCAAAGGTCACGAAATTGGCCTTTTTTTAATATCTCGTTTTTTATTGGTCGTACAAAAAAAAGTCTTATAACAAATTGTAGAGGAGGTAATTATCTTCAAAAATGGTCTCTTGACATTCTCAAGTCAAGTTGATAGTTTTTCTGTTATAAGGCCAACAATGTGTACACTTTTAATGAAATATGATTTTTTCGTTAAAAACAAGTAGCCTTTGCGTTAATATCTCGCTTTATACTGTTTGTACGATAAAAAGTCTCGAACAAAAATTGTAGAGGACAAAATTCATTGTCACGTGTTTATCTTGTTTTTTGTGCGTTCTGATTTTTTTTACAAGTACTGCTTATATTACATAACCAACTAAATGGCGGGTAATTGTTTTATATGTGAAAACTCGCTATCGGTCGGTGAAACTGTAAATGTCGAGCGTGGATTACAGACATTAAAAAACGCTAGTAATGAAAGAGACGATGGACATCTTGAGTTTTTAAATAATGTAACATCGGTGACTGTGCATGTTGAGTGTCGTAAAGACAAAAAAAAAATTGCCTCATTTAAAAGCATAGAGTATATAGAGATGCCCTATCAGAATAAGTATTATGAATTATGTGAAGCAAAACATGTCGGATTTGGTTTCCAATAACTAACAACGCAACTGATAGATAGCGCTTATTTTCAACTTTTCGTAAATCCCACCAATTTAATATTTTAAATATGTTATAATACTTTCTACTCAGAAACTATTTTAAGAACAAACCTAAGATGCTGGTGTGTTACAATAATTTAAGTATTGATAGTACTGATAATTTCCTCACCAAAAATTACTACCCTCCCATAACATATTATAATAGTATTTACGTATTTGTGCAAATCAAGTTCAGTTCAGTAATATTCAGTGGTGTACTGGTAAATATATTTATGGGTATACGCACCAATAAAATATTATGTAACCTAAACGATCAAATTATATCATCGTATATATTATTATATAACGTTATTGCAGTTCAATAGTACATATTTTTTAAAATTATTTTATTAATTTTTTTATAATGTAACAATAGAAAATAAAACAAAATCAACTCGAATGTCAAAAAAATTAAAATAATAATAACATTATTATTATAGGTACAATCAGACAATCTATAAAATTTTCCCCAAAGTTTTTTTTGTATTCAATATTGGGTTTACTAAATTGAACTTAAACCCTTAAAATACATTAAACACAACGCATATTGTTATATAACTTATATTCAATACCTACTTCAATTGATAAATAATTCATTAATACATAATAACGAATAACGTTTTTTTTCCTATATGAACTATTAAATACATTTTAAATCTTATTTGGTTTTCTGGTTATTTTGGAAACGTATACCCGTAAAATAAGATTTTACATTGGGTGTACGCCGAAAATCGAAAATCTTCTGATGGGTATACGGCGTATACTCGCGTACCCGTACCAATATACCACTGGTAATATTATAATAATTAATATTATATTGATAGTTATAAATAAAGGTTAATATAACCATAGAACAATATGATATAATTGAGTAATAATAATGAGTAATATAATTAAATTACAATAAATATTGTATTATTGTTCATATACAATAAAATATTTTCTATAGTTTGCCTACACTGTTTTGTTTCCATTTCCGCTTCATATTATTTCAATTAGGGCGCCTCTATATACTCTATGTTTAAAAGAGAATGTGAAGAAAACGCTGCAGGTCCATCTAACCCTTCACCGCATAAAAAACGATCAAGTAAATTTGATTTTCGAACGCTATGCCATGTTTGTGGTGAAGAAGCCAACGAAGATGTTGAGAAAAGAAAACGACAAGAACATCGAAGGAAAATTAAACAGGTCAGCACACTTTCATTTAAAGATAATGTGGAGGTGTCGCCGTTATCGCGGGCACCCTCCAACGTTCGCACGGGTACGTCTGTACTCGGGAGGAGTTTGTGTAAGAAAAACGAATAGCTTGTTGTACAAAAGGCGTGTTTATTAATTTAATGTCATTCGGATGCGTATATATACATTTAAGTCGATCGATGATCGAAAGTCGGCGTCGGTCACGTGGGCTTCGCGGTGCGAGAAGCCTGTTTTGCCAAACGGCAAAACATGGCGGCGGTACTCGGGACGGACTGTGTACGTCGGTTGGCGGTTGCCGAGAGAGAGACCGTTGGCAGCCGCCCGACACTTCGCGGTCGCGAACGACGCGGAGGACCGAGCGTTGTTGCCAACGCAGGGAGCGCGACCGACATGGGGAGGGAGTATGTGGCGAAGTCACTGGTTCGCCACAATAATATTATTAAAACAGCTGAGTCCCGTAGTGATGGACTCGGTAAAATTGTAAGGGATAGAGTTAATTTTGAATATGATTTAGTAGCTGCTGAGGCGAAATACCATGATAACTGTTTGATATCTTTTAATAAATACAAAAGTGGTGGATCAGTAGGACGTCCACATGACGAAAATATCAGGTTAGAGATGGAAGAAATATTTTATTACATAGAAAATAACAATGATTGTCAATTCACTTTAACAGAGTTATTAAATGCAATAACTAGTAATTTCATTCCAGATGCAAAAACTATAATTTATAAATTAACTGCTCGTTATGGAAAAGATATTATAATAACTACAAAACACGCTAAATTAAAAATTATTTGTTTTCTTGATACGCAAAAAAAAATTTTGTGTCAATCGTGGTATGAAAATAAAAAATCTAATGTTTCGGAAGAACGTCTACGTGTTGTAGAAGCAGCAACAGCAATTATCAGAGAGGACATTCGTTCTGTCTTGATTAATACCGATACATATCCTCCGGTAAATCAAATGTTCGATAATATTAATAAAAATATACCACAAAGTCTATTATTTTTTTTAAAACAAATAATTATTAAAAATAAAAAAGGTAATATTAATGAATTGGAAAATAAATGTACCGCAATAAATCATGCAATAATGAAGTGCACTCGCCCGCGAACTTTTTTGTCCTGATTATTACTCGGCATATCTGTATTTCTTCATAGAAGATATGGATCTAAACGTCTATTAGATATGTTATCAAATCTAGGATTTTCAAACACATCCAAAGAAGTTCTATTGTACGAAAGCGCTGTTGTTAATCACCCTCAACCCAAAATTCTATCGCCCGCGGCAGGCGCATTTATACAGTATTCTGCTGACAACGCAGATATTAATATTAATACGATTGATGGACATAATACAGTGCACATTATGGGAGTTATTCAAATAGTTACCCCAAAAAATGCAGTTATAGTCGACGAAGAGATACCAAGATTAAGAATAATCCCAGCTGCAAAAGACATTGCTGCTATCGCTCACGTGCCTTTACAAATGTATGACAATTTTGGTGTTTCTGGATTGAGCAAAATTGATGTAGAAAATATATTAAGTGACAACGTTTCAATAAAATATTTTATAAATAAAATCGATTTCTTGTGGATGTACGGAAAATGGAAAACTGTCTCGGATGTACCAGGGTGGAACGGTTTTATAGAGTATCTCACAAAAGAAAATAATAAATTTTCAACATCTCGTATTCTATTTTTGCCATTTATTCATCATCCAGCAAGTAATTTAAATACAATTTACACAACCTTGAACTCTATTCTCTTAATAGCTGGAATCAACCCAAAATTATAGTAAACACCAGGTTCAATTATGGTAAGGCATGCTGTTTCATTAATATTTCTAGTTTTCAACACACTTCTAGAATCTTTGGGAAGCTCAGTAAATCCTGGAAATTGTCTTAAAATTAGCAATAATGCATTAAGAGCATTGCGTGGAATGTTAAACTCAACAGCCCAACTAGCTAATTTCTTTCTAATTTCATCACATAAATCCGATGGATGATTTGTAACATAAGAAAAATTACTTGCAAGAAAAGTAGGAATATATTTTACCATTGTACTTCATTGATCTACATCATCTACATCATCTTCATGATTACTTCTAGTCATGAGAATTACTAATATCCGGAATACTATTCAATGATAAATGATTTTGGTGAAATTTTAGTTCTTCATTAACTTTATTAGTGGGTAAGTATTTTAATTGATCATGGTTAAATTTACGTACCTAATTATAATCCGATTAACTATTTATGGGAGATTGTAAATTCCGCCCGAAATGAACAGGTAAAAACAAGGTCTATGGTAAATTCCACCCGGAAAAATATCCAAGTAAAAAAGGTACATATAAATTCTACATATAAAAAATCTACAGGTACAAAAATGGATTTATGATTTTTACGATTTTTAACAATTTTATATGGTACACAATATTGTAATGGGATTACGTAATTTCATGTACTTGCTCATAAAAACAACCAGGAATGTGAAAGACAAGCAATGACCACACCCAAAGTGTTTACGACTAGAATACCACTCTATTCGTGAGGTCCATATCATATCAAGGGCGACTGTACACACGCGGCTCACTTTCAAAGGACACCGCGCCGCCACCATAAATATAGTTGACAGCGAGACAGCCTGAGCAGATTGTATCCAGAGACGTGAACAACGTACGACTCGCTTAGTCGCCAGCCATCACACACAATTACACGGAGATTATCATTCTAGAACGAGCTGCAATTCACTCAACGCTGCAATTCACTCAACTACATAATTATCACGATTGTTCTGCTTATTTTATTTGGTTTTAATAAAATACATTTGATTACTATTTTAATTTGACTATTGTTTATTATAAAAGTATATCAGCTTTTGGATCCCTGAAGGACTGTATGTAACAGTAAAATAATAATAATAATAGAATGCTAATGCCTTATTGTACTGTTGTCATTTTATTTAATTGAAAAGAAAAAACACAAAATAATTAAAAAAAAACGTCATTATAACAAATAAACAGTTAAATAATAATACTTTTGCAAGCCATTGATGAAGGTTCGACACAAAGGGCACCCTGAATTCCCTTCATCCATCCAGCGCCGGCGCTAGGTTTTTCGGGACCCGGGGCACATCATATTGAAAGGGACCCCAATATGCGAAATATTGAAAGCAAAAACCTACCGGCTACCAACTGGAAAAAATACAAGTCCTATACATATTTTATATAATTTACATAGTTATATTTGTTAATATTAGGTATGTACCAACCTTTACAGTTTACAGTCTATAATATAGATATTAGACTCTATACTCTATATATTAGAATTTTATAAGTATCTAATACTTGAAAATAAATAAAGCATGCTTCGTAGTTCGTTTAACAATAAACAGTATGTATGCAACAAAATACAAAATATGATTTTATAGTAGGTAAAAGATTTTATTTGAGAAACTGAACTAGGAAGTTTTTATATTTGAATAGTGTTTTACATCAAGCTTAACATAATATGTAATATTATTATATTTTTAGCGATTACAAGTATATTATAGTGTATAAAAAAATATAGAAGTATGTATTATTACTTACACAATAAATTTACTTTTATTTTTTTTTTTAATTCCCTTTTATTTTATAAACTTCTCAACATTATCAAAATAAAAAATATAGTATAATATAGTTAATTAATTTGAAATCATTTTTTAGTACATAAAAATAACAAGTAAACATTTAAAATTATAATTTATATTTGATAT